TTATGGCTTCTTCTATTGAAACCGGAGGGGCGTGGAGCACCATGGAAGATGTTTCTTTGTGTGAGGTTTGGCTCCGAGTTTGTCATTGTCCCTTGTCAGGCAATGAGATGAAATTTTTCCATATGTGGAAAAAAATTCATGCCGATTTTTGCGAAAAAATTCCGGACTCCACTCGTACGGAAATGGCATTGTCGAGTAGGTGGAAACTTCTCAACAAAGAGATGGCAAAATGGAGAGATGCCTTGGCAAAAGCGATGAATTTGTATAGAAGTGGGGAAAATCGTACTTGATTTCATAAAGATGCCTTTGGTTTGGCAAGATAAAGATGCCACGTGGCTTGATTTCATTGGATGAAAATCTTATCTGAAATTTGAAATTCATCCGAAATTTGAACCAAATTTTATCTGAAATTTGAATTTTGAAATTCATCCGAAATTTGAACCCAAATGTATCTGAAATTTGATTTTTGAAATTCATCCGAAATTTGAATTTTGAAATTCATTCGAAATTTGAACCCAAAAATTTATCTGAAATTTGAATTTTGAAATTCATCCGAAATTTGAACCCAAATGTATCTGAAATTTGATTTTTGAAATTCATCCGAAATTTGAATTTTGAAATTCATTCGAAATTTGAACCCAAAAATTTATCTGAAATTTGAATTTTGAAATTCATCCGAAATTTGAACCAAAAAATCTTATCCCGAAATTTTATCTGATTATGAATAGTCTTGACACGTAGGAACCCGTAAATCTTATCCGAAAATATTATCCACATTAATTATTAAGGTAAATAAAATTGTGAATAAAACAAAAAAATGAATAGTAATTGCCCTTAGCTAGGGCAATGGGTGGAAACACAAAATTCTGATTTTGCAAGGGCAACCACTATTCACGTGAATAGTGGCTGCCCTAGCTCCCCCCTTGCCATGGCTAAGGGCAATATGGGTGGAGTTGCTCTAATAACATTGATCTCTCTTTTCAGCAATCACAAAATGATCCTCAAAGTTAATAAATTTACAACAAATATTTGTCTGAATCTGAA